CACCTTTAAGTCCCTGTTTATAATTTAGTGGCATATGTTTCTTTATACCATGTTGTGTATAGTTGTAACCATCGAACTTTAGGTTCAAAGAGCATAAACAATCAATTAGAGCCACTCTGTAACTTGTCTGTTGTATGTCCGATGTCTCTTTACTTGTCTTATTATGTTTGAACTTCCTGATGAGAATGTTCTGCATGCCACTCAACGAGCTATACCGAGTACTTAGTTTATAAATAAATCAACGTATATAAATCACCAATTGTAGGATCAGAATTTTCTTTTCTTTGAATTTTGTCATAACGTAGACTTATACAATTCATTTAGGAGTCTGCTTGAGTCACTTTTCATACATCCCATATAACTCATGTTCAAAGAATTTTACTCATGTCATCCCATGTATGATTGTTTTTACTTAAAATTTTACTTATACCTAGACACTAGGGGTGGCAATTGGATCGGTCAAGTCAGGTGGGATCGATATGTAAGCTTAACCTGAACCCGATCTGTTTAATAAACGGGTCACACTACCCAACCCATTTATTAAAGGGGTTACCCACCTGACCCGAGTAACCCAATTATGACCCGTATATGATTATACTTCCGGTGTTCTAGAAGAGAAATCACGATAGATTGCAACAATAATTTTTTGTACATTAGATATCATCTAAGCATATATTCATATAGTCAGGTTATAGACTATAGTTTAAGGGATTATGTGTAATTTAACAAGAAAAATAAAGTAAAAAAGGACACGTATAAAACTAGAGCTCATCACCCCTAAGTTTTTCATCAAAAAACCTTACCAAAAAAATTTTCATGCCCTTTTTTTCTCAGATCCCCAACCTCATCCAGAAATTCACAATTATCATCAATGTTATCGATCGTGAATAGCGTCGCGTAGCGGTGAGGCACCGCTAAGGTTATTTTCGCCTGTATCAATAAAATAGCGATAAATAGCACATAGTCAAATAGCGATCTAATTTAAATATATTTAAATATTCAAAAAAATAAGAATCGATGCAAGGACAGGGCTTTGTCGAGAGCAGGGCTTTATCGAGGAGATGGAGCAGAGGTAGTTGGAGGATCTAGAGAGGAGAAGAGATGGAGATGAAGCTTGTCGAAGTAACTGCTGTTTGCTGTAGCGTCGAGGAGAGGAGATGGAGCTTGTTGAGGAGTTGGAGGATTTGGATAGGAGGTGGAGGAATGGTGGAGAAGAGATGGAGATGGAGCTTGTCGAAGTAATTGTTGTTTGTTGTAGCGTCGAGGAGAGGAGATGGAGCTCATTGAGGAGTTGGAGGATTTAGATAGGAGGTGGAGGAATGGTGGAGGAAGGCAGCGGAATTGGAGCTCATCCAACAAGAAAGAAAAAGAGAGGCGGAGGTTCGATTAGGGTTTTTTGAGAAAGAGGTGGAAGCAGTTGAATACATAAGAGAAAGAGAGTGGGTTTTATAAGTTGGATTGGGTTCGGGCGTGATTCGGGTTGGGTTTTTGATAAAAATCAACCATAAAAGAAGGCGCTAATAGTGCTCAAAAGCGCTATTAACAACTTTTGAGTGCTATTTCACACTTTTCTTTGCTATTTCGAACAAATAACAATCTTTGGCGCTTTTTCTCATCGCTATGGTCAAAATTATTGCGGGCAAGGTCCGCTAACGTAATTGTACCGCAATTGCCCGTTATTTACAACACTGGTTATCATCTTCATTAATCAACTCTTTTTATCTATTCAATCAATCCAACATGAAGCATCTCTACAAACAATCCCCCTCCTCTCAATCTAAAACACCAGCATCCCCAAACCCTCAAAACCCCATCTCAATCCTTTGCCCGCCGTCGTCGCCGGTCACTCGCTACTCTCTTGGCACTCGCTACGACCGCTCTTTGCTGCCATTTGTTGTAGTTGTTCTACGCCTCAAGCTCCCGTAGCGGTGGATAAAGAACCCTCAAAGATTAGGGCTGAAAAGAGAATTGACACTTACCCAGTCAGATCATATATGGATTAGATGAGTCATAAATGGGTTGACCACTAGCTACCCATTTTAATAAATGGGTAGCTAGGGTTGACCTGTTTATGACCCAAGCCCATTTAACTCGACCCGTCCCCCTTAATAACGGTCAGGTTGGGTCGATTTGATGGGTCGGACTATTTTTTGCCGCCCCTATTAGAAACCACTTAATATGGAAGACCAAATAAAAATAACCTTGAGTAGGGTATTCATCTGGATGTGGTATGTATGCCTCATTGTTTTCTGGTGGCATTACGTTTTTGCATGATAGAGCTACCTGAGACTGCTATCATCATGTTTCCACTACTGAGTAAGTAGGTACCATCACCACAGTCTGACAGTCATCATTGTGGAGCAGAGCGCTTCGAGACTGTAATTGTGTGTCCTCAAGTCCGATTGTTGATCCCAATGACAACATAGATGTTCCTGCCGCATTCAATGGAGCTCAATGATAATGGAGCGAAAAACTTATCTTTGTAGGTCACACTAAGCATAAAGCATATTAGATTAAGTAAAATAGAAAAAAAATCTGTTTGTTTAAGAACATAGAAAGTGATCAATCTAGTATTTAAATTTGAGACCGGCACAGAAAGCTATAAAGGTAACACCATAAGTAAAGAAAAAATCTACAGCTAATCTAATTTTATATTATAATTATTAATTTAACTGGTAAAATTACATCTCAGAAAAAAATCTGTTTATTTAAGAACATAGAGAGCGATCAATCTAGTTATTTAAATTGCGATCGCTTTTTGGGGTTGAGAGAATTACTCCTTGGAGTTGATGATAGAAGAAGTCATGCAAGTCTTTACCTTGCTAATTGCTACATTATCAATTGCTTTTGGGGCATCGAGTAAGAGCAACTAAATATGTGAGACCTTTGAACTACCTCTTCTCCCTGACATGTTAGGAGTGATAAGATGAGTAGCTCAAGAATGGCCTCCTTACTAAAATCCTAGCCTAGTGTTACTGAACTAGAGCTGGTTTGATTCTCTTGATGGAACCAGATTCAGTTCAGGCTATGCCCTAGTCCAAATCAGGTTTGGACCCAGTCTGAAGTGGTCCTTCAGTGAGATTCGATCCAGCTGGATCAGCAACCAGCATGGTTTCTAGACCTAGTCCAACACTATTATAGAAGCACAGGTACTTGTTAGCAATTGACATATGTTTGTATTTCAAAAATATTGTAACTTGTATGCTCATAAAAAAAAATTGAGCAAAGAATGCACCTGCCCAAGAAAGCTGCACAAGTGAACTTTCTGTAATATTTACATAAGATACTCTTCCTCCTGCAACGTGTCGTCAACTCTATATATATCTGGTTCGCTAATTCTGTCAGATTTTTGAGCCAACTTTGTGCTTCCTTGTATTGGAATTGCATTTGCACGAATACACTATTTATTTTTAAAAAGTCTGCCTTGTATTGTGTGCATCTTGTGTGTATTCTTGCTAGCCTAGTATACTCAATTGATTGATGTTTTTATTAGAAACTTCTGCATCAGTATTAAAATTTAGATGTTATGCTAGGAATGAAAGCTTATGAAACAGATGAGAAAGAGTTGATTATGGAACCATCACTGAAATGGGCTGGAAATCCGAATATTATTGTGGTGGTTAAAGCATTTGGATTGAAGGCAACCTTACAGGTTACTAGCTTGTACTATTTTGGTTTAAGAATAACATAGCTTGGATATTTGAGACTAATGCTGCTTCTGAAAAGTTGTTTAAGAAGTTATATTAGTGAACTAATTCGATTCCTTTTGAGATTCAGGTAGTAGATTTGCAAGTCTTTGCTATACCGCGAATTACATTGAAGCCTTTGGTTCCTAGTTTTCCTTGTTTTGCAAAAATCCTCGTCTCGTTAATGGAAAAGGTACATAAGCAAGTTTGATTTGTTTGGTAGCTTTTTATTGTGATTATATTCTTTATATATCATGAACAGTAATTTCCAACTTCTTCCATTGTATTTTCTTTTCTTTTCTTTTCTTTGTTGCAGCCACATGTTGACTTTGGACTAAAACTTCTGGGAGCTGATGTTATGGCAGTTCCTGGTCTTTATAGATTCGTGCAGGTATTCTGCTGCCATTGTTTATTAAATCAGACGATTGTGACTAACAACTGGTTGATGCATCCATACGCAAGTGTAAATGGAAAGAGAACAAAGCATTACCACACTTCAGAATAAAATCCTATAGTGGCTCCATCTCCCATTTGATTCATAATTTTCTCTGGTGATCTACCGTATCAAACACTTAAGCTACAGAAATCTACAGACAAGGCAGAATGAGCCAGAGAATGACCAAGAAATAAACTTGACAATAACTATTACACAACCCTAGCAATTGAAGATGACTTAGTTTGAGATCTTTTTTTTTGTGGTGGTGGTTGGGGGGGGGGTACAATATACGATACATGAAAAAAATTTTGATTCATAAATTTCTCTGGTGATCTACCGTATCAAACACTTAAGCTACAGAAATCTACAGACAAGGCAGAATGAGCCAGAGAATGACCAAGAAATAAACTTGACAATAACTATTACACAACCCTAGCAATTGAAGACGACTTAGTTTGAGATCTTTTTTTTTGTG